ATATATATATATATATATATATATATATATATATATATATATATATATATATATATATTCTTGTCATTCTCATTCTTTTTCAAAATTTATTTATTATGTACACAGTGTTACACCTGCATATATGTCTGCACACCAGCAGAGGGCACCAGATCTCATTATAGATGGTTGTGAGCCATCATGTGCACACTGGGAATTGAACCTATGACCTCTGAAATGACAGCAAGAACACTTAATCTCTGAGCCATCTCTCCAGCCTCTATATCAATATTCTTGATCATTTTTCCTTTCCTTTCAGATGTCTATACATATTCATGTTTATTGTTTGAACAGTTCATAGAAATGTTATCTCATATACATGATTATAACAACTCATATATTAGTGTATAATTTTATAGTGTATAATCATAAATGCATGTTAATTGGCAGACATGAATTTTTACTGTTGAAAATGAAGAAGTGTGCTTCTCCTAGAGTCTATACCCATATAAGGCACCTGAACACAATTAATATGCCATACTTCTCTTGTGTCTTTAGTGCTCATATGTTTATCTTTAATACTGGCATGTTGGATAAGGAAAATGCTGTGCAATGGTAGATTGCTACTCACATATTTAGGTCAACATTCTTTGTCTCTCCCTATAGAAATTTTGCTGGATGGACAAATATCCATGAAGCTGTAGAAACTTCATTTCTGGGATTCACTGCAAGAGATTTTCCTTACCATCATTGAAATCAAAAGAAAGCTCCTATTTCCTAATAGACTCATTTATTTTTTCCTGTTTATTTTTCCTTCCTCCTGATGGTATAGTCTATTGACTGATTTGAGCACAGTTTATCATCTTTCAAATTACAGTTTAATTATTGTTGATTATTTATTTAGAAATGGAGGTGAAACACAAACTACTCACATTCTGGTTAAAACAACTGTGGAGCACCTCACTGGATAGATAAGAATGATACGATGAACCTATCTCACCTCCAATATGCTATATGCTGCTGTAGAATTCTCTCAGCCTTAACAACCATGACCACGCAAGAAAGAGTACATCTCCATACCAAAGTACAAATTTGAAGGTAATATACACTGTATGGTATTGACTCATCTGGCTACATCATGATTACATATAGGTGTGTGTGTGTGTGTGTGTGTGTGTGTAGCTGAAGTTTTCCTGGTCCCACCTGGCTCACTGCTGTCCTACAATCCCACAGCCGCTCAGACCCAAATGAACACACAGAAGCTTAATATTAATTAAAACTGCTTGGCCATTAGGTCAGGCCTACCACTGACTAGCTCCTACACTCAAACTCATCCCATTTTTGTTAATCTATATGTTGCCACATGTTCCTTGGCTTTACCTGTGTGCTCTTACATGCTGTTCCCTGAAAGGCACACTGGCATCTCCTGACTCAGCCTTGCTCTCCCAGAATTCTCCTTCTCTGCTTATCCCTCCAATACTTCCTGCCTGGCTACTGGCCAATTAGTATTTTATTTATCAACAAATCAGAGCTACACATTCACATCATAGAGAAAGACATTCAATCATCATCCTTGTGTGTGTGTGTGTGTGTGTGTGTGTGTGTGTGTGTGTGTGTGTGTGTGTGTAAATCTCCTTTTGATGAAGCATAAAGAAATTAGGAGATTCTCAGTGCATAGGGTCTAGACTGTCTTTAACAAAAGTGTGAATCTTCTGTCCAAAATACACATATGCAAAACACACCACTCGTTCCTTCTATAATCCCTAGTCATCTACAAAGAGTCATCATTTGCAGCCTTCCACTATACTTCGGATCTAAAGACTTTTGTGTGTGCCTTGCCAGGTGCTCTGTGAGCTCATGGAGAAGCAGGCTCAGGAGATTTGGTTAGGTCTACTCAGTTGAGGCACAGACACTTGGTTTCAACAATCATCTAACATCCCTTCCATGAGTAAGTATGGGCTCTGACTCTGTGACAGGCACCAATGTGAACAGCAAAACAGGCCAAGAGGAAAGACATTATGTCCTTCATAAAAACTGAGGGGAAAACTGTTTCAAGGAGAGGGGTCTATTGTCCATCTCTAGATATAATGATGTCTACAATAGTAACGGTTAATGGGCTGCCCATCCACCTAGAGGATAGAGGGGACATATGTCTAAAACTCCTCAGCCATTGCCTCAAGATGACATTATATCAAGGCTTTTCCTTGTTTTTCTGTTGGACGTTGTCAACTTCAGTTGGTTGATATTTTGCTATAATCATCTGCTATTTATTCTCAATGGAGATCACAAATGTGTATATGAGAACATTTCCTGGACTCTACAATGTGGAATATATTTTTGATTGACCTGTTTTATGTGGCATTTTCAGGGGAATAACAACAATTCATAATTGAACACTTTGTATAATGGAGATATTAATTTATTGCTATGATGTTACATATGAAGTTTGGAGCCAACTTTCTTTTTAACTTAAATCACTATTTTGCTCTGTTTCATCATATGATGAAAGGAAAAATAAAAAGAAAAGAGGACACATGAAAAGATATTGTAGAAAGTGTGGGAGAATGAAAATATCTTTAGAAAAAAAGTATATAAAGGTTAATATGGCTGAATGATTTCCCAGCATCAGGAAGAAAGTATGCAAGCCTGACCAAGTTATGATTGTCTGAGTAATTCTGAATGGAAGTGAAAGGTGAGATATGCCATCTGGGAACTTATCTTCGTGAGGTCAAAATTCAATACTTTGAGTAAAAATGGGATTCTCTGCAAGTATTGGTCTTTCCTTGGTAAGTTTTACAAGCACTGCCTTAAAAGAACAAAATATTTGTCCAGTTGGTATGTATTTGAATGGATTAGGCTCTATGGGCTTTATTTTCAAGCTCTGTCTAAATATTACACAGTGGTTATTAATACCAGCCTTGGAGAGATGACTGAGCAGTTAAGAGTTCTTGTTACTCTCACAAAAGAGCTGGGTTTGTTTCGCAGTACCTACACATGGCTCACAGACATCTGTGGTTCAGGTTCCTGGGGATTCAGTGTGCTCTTCTGACCACTCACGGTAACAGGCATGTGTGCAGTGCACATACACATATTCAAGCAAACATTCATACATTAAAAATAAAAATATAATTTTTCATTTGTTTCCTTTTATTGAAAGTGGACTCTGTTCTCATACAATTTATTCTGATGACAGTTTCCCCTCCTTCTATTTAAGCCTTCCCTCCCTCACTCCTTCCCTTCTTTCTTTAATTCTTATCTTAAGGCCTGGGGAGGCATTTCAGTAGGTTGAGCATCCACTGTGCAAAACTCACAGGTTGAGTTGAATCCCCAGAGCTGTCATAAAGGTGGACAGAGAGAACCAAGTCCCACGCTGTCCTCTGAACTCCACACATGTGCATAAGCACACACACCCACACAATTGTAGAGAAATACATAGTAATAGTTAGTAATGTACTAAAGTGTCTGATGGGTGCTGGGGGATTCCGAAGAGATGAAGGGTGGTTCACATCTTGGGTCCTAAGTCGAGGTGATCTCCGTGGCTACATGCAACAGCTGAACTTCCTCCTGTGGGATGTGGATATTTTAATGAATATGATGGTGTTGATGAGGAGGATGGAGATGGAGAAGATGATGATGAGGATCACAGGAATGGAAAGGATGACGGTGGTTATAATAATGGGGGGACTTAGCATGTGTTTCTTTCTCATTATGAAGATTGAACTTGACTGTACATCAGTATATACATAAATATATAAAATTGCACATAAAGTATACACATAATATATGAATAAACATACATATTATTTGATTCCGTAAAACAAAAAATAAATTAAGGTCTACATTTATAGAAATGGGTTAGTTTAAGATAGAAGAACTAGATAACAAAAAGCCTGCCACGGCCATTTACTGGGTTGGGTCTGAGCGACTGAGGTCTGGGACTGGCGGGTGAGAGAAATTTGTCCTGACAGTGGGCCAGGCAGGACTGGAGAAAACTCTAGCTACACTAGAACTGCAGACACACACTCATACTTGGTTCTCTATAGGTGTTGATTGCCTAATCCATATCCTTGCCAGTTTACCCTGGATTATTTATACAGCAGATTCTCTGCACAGTGGCAATACATTAGACCTCTGTAGTGTCAGAGGATACAGGGGTATCTCAGAAAACAAGCCTAAGACCTATGTACAGACAAGTGAACACTGAAATAACTCACAGAATCTGCTGGAGGAAACACGTGCTCCTATGGGTCTATACCGACACACTAAACAGTCTCAGGCCACATATAGAAGAATGTAGGACCTGCATAGGATATACTAGACTCAAGCTCACACAATGATGGTCCTTATGAAAGGACTTGTCCTCAGCATGGTTTTGGAGGATTGAAAGAGTAATGTGTGTAGAGAAAAGGGGCTGGCTAAAGAACCCCACCCTGACCCTGGAGCCCAGAACTAGGGAAAGATAGATCAGAACAGAAAGAACCACAGTTTGGCTCATTCAGATCAGAGCCATCTCTTCCCTTGGCCAACTGTCTTGTGAAACCAACCAATCACAGAGCAGGACAGCAGAATCCTGGACCCTAAGTCAACCCCTGGTTGACTCCACGCCCAGGCCTTCCTGTGTAAAC